CCCCCCCCCACACAGCGCCGGGATCCCACAGCTGCCCCACGGCCACGCAGCACCAGGGAGGGCCCCAAGCGTGCTGGTCTGAATGCAAAATCCAACTCAGACGCCTCACCACCCTCAGCCTCTTCTTCCCCAGGAACTCACAGCAGATGTGGGTCCCCCTTTTTCTCATCCCTCGGGGGGGAAAGGCGCAGCCTGACACCTCCCCCACCCCCCTCCCCCTCCAACCCCCCGTCCCTTCACACCCACCGTGCCCGCACGTCGCTGCGGGTGGCACACAGCATCCCCGCACCTCTCCGCCTGCAGCTCCCCCAGCAGCTCCCGGTACTCCGCGTGCTGATCTGCAAACACCGCTCCGTACTGCTGCCGCTGCCGTGCGCTCCGGATTGCTGGGTACCGCCTGGAGGGGCACCACCAGCTCAGCCCACGGGACCCCCCTCCAAGAACCCCCCCCCTCCTCCTCCTCTGGCACTGGCCACTTACACCACGTAATCAGGGATGATGTGTGGCTGTGGCACGAGCCCGGGGGGCACAGAACCCGAACCCCCCCGCTGCTTGCCCTCTTCGGTGGTGGTGACCCCAGCCCTCCGTGGGGGTCTCCCCGCCACCCCCACCTCATCCTCGAAGACGACACGCTTGGTTTGGACCAGCAGAGGCTTCAGGATGCAAACTGGGGGACACGAGGCCCCCGCAGGCTGCAGGCTGCCCTCAGGGCTACAGGGAATCACCGCAGCCCCCCGGTGCCACCGGGCCACCTCATGCCACACTTTGAGAGCCACGGCGCTGCCGGCCAGGTAGAGCAACGCCGTGAGGAAGAGGAAGAGCAGCACAGCTGCCTGACCCCCCTCCACCCGGCAGAGCTCGGTGAGGAGGGGGCTGCCAAGCAGCGGGGAGGAGCAAAGCCCACCCAGAGTGACAGTGTGAATGTGGGCCCCCGCTGCCGCCAGGCAGAGCAGGAAGAGCAGCACGTGGAGCCCCGCTTCGGTGGGGGGCCACCAGGTGACCCCCAGGAGGACGCGGTGGTAGCGGGCGGCGACCCCCAGTAGGAGGGCAGTGAGCAGCCAGGCCAGGCCGAGCACCGCCAGCACGAAGGGGGTCAGAGGGACCCCCAGGCCCCCCCCGAGGAGCAGCTCGCTGCCGTAAGCGCTGTGACCCCGCGGGATGTCAGCACACACGCAGATGAAAGCCGTCCCCCCGCACAGCAGCTGCAGCCCCCCCAGCACACGCAGCAGTCCCGGCCACGACTTCATGTGGGCAAAGCTCTGCCAGAAGGCATCCTGCCCAGCAGCATCGTGCCACGGTCCCTTCTCATTGCTGGGGGGGGTGGGCTCAGCCGTCATCTTCCAGAGGGGGCTGCGGCGATGGGACCCCCGGAGGCGGCCGTGCTGCTGGAAGGGGGAACCAGGATGAGCCCCCAGTAGGGATCCCACTCCCAGCCCTCGTGCCTCAGTTTCCCCTGCAGGGTGTACACAGCCCGGCTGCCAGCTGCTACAGCTCCATCCCTGTCCCACTGACACTCAGGACCCCCACCCAGCCCAGCTCCTGCTGCCCCCCAGCATTACCTGCCCGCTGCATGGCAGGACGTGGCCCCCCAGGAGCGCTGCGGCCGCTACCTGCCGCCGATTGGCACCACGGGTTAAACATTAACAGCTCTGTGCTGCCCAATAGAGGGTGTGGGGTGTGGGGAGAGAGGGCTGTGGGGTGTGGGCTGTAGGCAGGAGCAGCCCCAACACTCCCCCCCCCGTGTTTGGCTGTGCCAAGCAATGGGGAGCCGTGCATCTCAGCACCCAGGTTCTGCAAAGACCCCTCCCGACTCCTTAAGGGCCCAATCCCATCCCATCCCATCGCCCCCCCGTCCCACTGCCACGAGCACAGAGTGACATGTCCAGTTCAACCTCCTTTAATGTGTGCCTCAGCCCCCCCCCCCCCCGCCCCCCCCCACCCGGGGGGCGGGCTCAAGGGGGGTACGACCCCCGGGGGTCCCAGCACAGGACCCCATGGAGCAGCTTTGCCCCCGCACCACACAGGGGCTGCTTGAGTATTGCATCCAGGAATCTCACAGCACTTGACAATGGTCGGTATCGTTGCCCCTCCCCTCCCCTCCCCCCCCCACGCCCCCATTTTACAGATGGGGGAAACTGAGGCACAGAGTGGTGACGTGACTTCACCAAGGCTGCGGCGTGGCCGAGCCAGGACCCCCAGACCTCAGCCCCAGGGCTCGGCCCTGCTCTTGCCATGGGGAGGCTGCCACCACCCCACACAGCCCCTGGCCCTCCTGCTCCCCACCACCCTGACCCCATCCTGGACCCCCACCCACCCCACATCTGGGCCACTGCCCCCAGACCCCCTCCCAAACCTCAGGGCTCCCACTCTGTCCCACCGCCTCTTTCTCCCCTTTGCCAGGACCCCCCCCATCCCCCCGGCGCTGCTCTTATGTTCCACCCCCCAAATCTCTCCTGGGGGTAGGGGGGGGGGGGG